ATTTATATTGCTTAATATCGGAAAAACGTGATCACGGTGGCACAGAAAAGAAACATAATTTTTTCTTGAGATGTGAGAATAACAAGCACAACAAATTTGACAACTAATAATCTGAGATTTGCCTGTGTAAACGGGGTGATTAAAAAACGAGCTTTGATTGAGATAATATTGATATGTGAACATACTTTAAGCTTGCTGTCACCATTCGGTTTGAAACCAAAATGCACGACCAATGTGTAAATTTTCGATGGCAAATATTGTATGGAGGTATTGCACGTTTTAAAAAGGAAATAAGCAACAGTATTTTCTTTTTTTGAAAAGTTAACTTATATGTGTATCAGACATCTGCAGCGGGTGCATGATTTTCGTGTATACTCGATCATCTAACAAAACCCGCTTTGCATCGTTCTCTGTATACGAGCAGAAGTATTGTTTGTTATCGACTGAGCTCAAGACGAACATGTTGGCCACAACACCCGATTGCTTTTCATACATACTTGATTGGGTTCGGGTGCTTTGCAGCTCAATATACCCGGGTGTTCGAGTTTCAACCCGAGTGTGCACAAAATTTTCTTGATTGGCTTATGACGTTTTTGTTTCTACAAAAAATGTTGCCTTCTCATCGCGGTGCTCTTAGTTTTTGTGCGTAGAGGGTAAAGAGAAGGTTGAATTTTTCGGTAGTTTGTTTAAGTGTACATTTAACCATTTCTTATATTTTTGCTCATACAAAANTTCGCTTGTGCTTGATTTTTAGTGAGTGTGATCAAAAAGGCTCGATCATACTCAAAGCTGTTCTCTGATGTGTATATGTACATATATGGGTGTTTCCATGAAAATGTCAACCAGGACTGAAAAGGGTTTTTAAGACGAATTAATAAAAGAAAAATACTCGAATTTTTATATTATAGAAGTATTTCAGCTTATTGGAATTTTAAAACTCAAAAATGGAGGAGTAAAAATGAATGTCTCTTCGACTGAGTTTTCTCTAATGAAATGAACTATTTTCTCTTTCCTATTAACTAAATTAAGACATTTGAAACATTACAATTACTTCTTAAAATCGAATTTGCAATGACAACTAACTATAAAAATTAGAAAAAGGAGAAGTTAGAGCTCGAATAACGGTAATTTTTTGATTTACTTCTGATAGTATTCTAATGTCGCGTAAGTTATGCAAAAACATTGTTTGTCTATGTCATTTGTATATTGACAGTCGCAGGTAATGCAGATTACAATTCTTACAGGTCTATTCTGCACGTTACCGAAGATTTTGTAACCGGAAAATTTTATTACCAAAAAATGTCACCACTTCTTGTCACCGCGATTCTAGGAACGTTGGTAATGCAGTTAAAATTTTCAGCAATTCAGCTATGAAGAATTGTGGAAATTCTGGCATTGCATATTTCACGGGGTAATACTTTATTACCAGCTTATGAGATGGTTACAAGAGAATGCGAAAAGGGTTTAAAAATTGACAGACACTTTAATTACCGGTTACAAACTTTTTATTACCAGCGCAGAATAGACCTGTTAAGCGAGAATTCTTCCAGTTAAAGATATACAGTAAAATTTTCTTTCCAACCGAAGTAAAAAAAATTGTATTACCCTTTAAAGGTTTTGAAAACGCGAAACGGTGGAGAGAACTGAAAAAATATAATTTTGTATGTGTTACTAGTAAAAATATTGTATGGGGGAAAAATCTGTCGCGTACGTTATGTCGCGTACGTTATTATA